CTACACACTAGCAAAAGAAATGAAGTTACTGAAGTCAGTTTTTGGGATATCAAGAACTCAGCAGAGAAATCAAGAGAAAAATAAGAAAGTAAGAAAGAACATCAAGAGAGACAAAAGCAGGAAATTCAGGCAGAGAGGGGCAAGAGGCCAGCAGAGCATTTAAAGAAGCTGAGCACCGATGTGTGATTCAAATGCTAAGCAGGCAGGGAGAGATCCGTATCCGTCAGCCTTACTCTCTATGAAATGGAAATGAGCCCGGAGAGACGGAAACGGAGGGGAAAAGATCTAATTAGATATAAGATAAAATGTGGAAGAATGGGGCTTTTTTTCTCCTCCAATGAATTTTATATTCACACATCAAACCAGTAGACGAAAGTGGAAGGGTATAATGCAGGTACATGGAACGGAAAGAGGAAGTGGTGCCTCGGTGCTGACCTTCCAATCCAAATAAAACGACAGTGATTCATCTTACCGTTCCAGATGTTGATATTGAACAAAGAGTCAAATTTGAGACATGAAACTGCCCCTTTAATGAACAAACAAGAGTGTCAGCCATGTTAGTGGCTCTGTCAGACTGTACTTAACAACAGCGGCGCTCACAGTGACAACCGCTGATGTTGAGCAGATAATCTTTACCACATGCTCCATCTTAGTTTTGGGTGTTGGCGCACTTATTCGTTTTGGAGTTGTGGACAGAGTGAAAAGTGAAAAGGTCAGGGTATCACTAAAGTTAGTACGATTCATCATCTGGGAACCACGGGAAATGTCTGTACCAAATGTACCAATCCATCAAGTACATGTGCATATCATTTCAATGTACAGATGACAGGGCTGACATCAGTTGAGAAAGTCATTAGGATCCATCTATTTTACTTTATTTTGAGCTTATTTAGTGTATGAATCCAAATGTTTTAAGTAGAGCTTGTAGATCAGTGGTTCCCAACCTGGAGGTCGGGACCCCACTAGAGGTCACCAGAACTTCATTGGGGGGTCGCAAGGCCTTCTTGATTTTAAGTGGTGTAAGGAAATTTGTATATACACAGTAGGCCTATTCACTTTTGTGAGGAAATGTAAATGGTAAATGGACCTGTACTTGTATAGCGCCTTCCGACCTCTCAAAGTGCTGTTACACTACATGCCACATTCACCCTTTCACACACATTCACTCAGGGATGGCAAAGTCCATTGAACAGAAATTAACTCATTCATACGCATTCACACACCAATGCACAGCATCGGGAGCAATTTGGGGTTCAGTATCTTGCTCAAGGATACTTTGACATGTAGCGGTAGGAGCTGGGGATCAAACCAACAACCTTCCGATTAGTGGACATACATAATACAGACAGAGAATTGTATAAATATGTATACATGTTTCACAAACTCACTCAACATCTTGCAGTTACTGAGTTTGCTATTTGGGTTCATTGTACAGTTTTGAATACAATATGAAATATCACTCAGTTTAAGGTTTGGAACCACTGGTGTAGATAATTCCTTCCTGTCACAAATTAAAAAGTGCAGCTTGTCAGAATTCTGACATTTGTATAATGAAAAATGCATTCGACATTACTGGTTCCCTCTTTTCCCTTGATGATATTTACAATATCCTAGTCGCCATGGCCTTGTTATACAGTGTTTGTGCTCATTTGTTTGTCTGAAGTGTCTGATAGTTGATTTTGGAGTTGTTTCATTGACTTTATTCTATGCCAGTCAGTCTCATTTCCTGTCACATTCCATATTCTGCAGATTCATGCTAATCTAATCTCATGTGGTCAGCATAAACCACAGCTCTCTTGGCATTGTCTGCTGCATCCCAGTCCACTGATAGCACCGTCTCCAACTGTGCTTTGTATCTCAGAGTAAACTCTGGTGTTTGGACTGGCCGAGCTTCCCCGAGCACGCCGAAAGCCTTAACGGGAAATGATGTTCTCAACGGCGTGGTCATCAGTATGCTGGATGAACGCTGCAGACAGGGGATGCTCTGTGTGCAGTCAGGGACAGACTGTGAATAAAAAACTACTCTGGATTTATGACACAGTCCAGCCAACCACAACCTGACACATGGCAAGTAGTAAGTAAAAGGGATTTGATTATTTAAATTATATACAGGGTTCACACTCTTTTTAACAAATCATTTTCCAGGACCTTTCCAGGCGATTTTTTAATAAGCACTTAGGTTTATGTAGGTAGAGATACAAAAATGTTTTCATGACTGGAAAACTAGTCTCTAAATTGAATCCTCATACATAATATCAGCAAGTGGGGGCCCAGCCCTGTTGTATCAAGCAGTCCCCTGACCTTCCCTTTAGTGCCACTATCTGGTCAAAGTTTTCACTTATCCTGTGAAACATCAACTTGATGGATCGGTGCAAGATTGTGTACTGACATCCATGGTCCCCAGACACTGATCCTCAAATGTTTTCCTCTAGCACCACCATTTTTACCCTATATATCTCTACTGCTATTGGAAGGTATTGCCATAAAAGTTAGTATGTACATTAGTGCCCCCTCAGTGTATGACTTTTCATCTAACGCCTGCATCAGGTCCAAATTCCAATTCGTCCATTAGTTTGGTTTATGGTCAAGGGTTTGTCTCTGGTTAGTTTTGCAGGTAAAACTAACAACATTCCCATCAACCTCAGCTGTACTTTGTTTGTGCAAATTAGACAATGTTAGCATGCAACATGCTAAACTGAGACAGTGAACACGGTAAACATTTTACCTGCTTAATATCAGCACAGTTGGTGTGAGCACGACAATAATAGCATTTATCTCTAAGCACTACTGTGCACAAGTGCAGCCTCACAGAGCTGCTAGCGTGGCTGTAGGCTCGTTTGTGAAATGCAACGTAGTCTGTAGAGGAGCCAGTTTATCAGTGTGTGTGGTCCAGGGTTTAATCCTCAGCAGTGCTGCCTTAATTACTGGTAATGCTCTGTGCTATCACCATCCACTGCACACAGTGTTAGTAGACTGCTTCATTTTAAATTGGATTGTTCATCTACCACCAATACAAAGACTTTAGCCAGATGTACAGTAAACATTATGGATTGTGGACTATGAAGCAACCCCCTCTGTTGCAACTACAGCGTAAGAAATAAGTTGACCAAGTTAGCAAAATGGATTGACAATCTTGCTGAGCAATGGCCGCTGCATTGGTGGGGCAAAACACCGGTTTTATGTGGAAAGTCGGTTACCCATGCATCTTTGTTTCCCTTTACCTTAAACTGAACCCAAATGTATCCCTAACCCCAACCACAACGCCTAACCAATAACCTAACCTGCTATAGGGCCTAACCCACATGGGACAAAATTGTGGTAAACACTATTTAAGAGGTGAAACAGACTACATGCAACTGCCAAGATGAAGATGCCAACTTTATTTTCTTCATGTTAGCTATAGCTGAAATTTAGAATCTGTTTTTATTCTGGCAGTGTAGAAGGATAGGTTGGAGTAGGAGTGATTACAGCGGCACATAACTCTATCAACATTTGGTGTGTGAGTATTGTATAAGGATGGGATTGAAAGATTCTGCAATTGTCTTGTAAGTACAAATGTGATCATCTTTAAAACATGAGAACTCTTATTTATAAGATGAGGGACGAAAAATGGATTTTCACAAAAAATATATAATTACAATAATTAACCTTTTAAGGAGGGAATCTTTAATAGAGCTCTGATCCAATCAAAAGAGATGTGACAGGTACACTTCAAATAGCACATCACACCTTTAGTGTGAATCGGTTCAATACAGGTTATTATACAGGATGGGACAAAGATACCAGCTGTTTCATCTCCACTGAACTATAGCGGGGTTTTGTAAAACAGCTGAAAAGAGCCGAGCTAAAAGAGGTGGTTGTCGGTTCTATTCCCTGTCTGAAAGTGTTTCCTGTCTGAACCTTCACTGACCTTTGAAGCAGCTTTTTTTTAGCTGCTTTTATCCACTGAGAACAAAGACTGAATGTGTCCACCCATCGCAGCAGGTGGCCACACACACACACCTGCAGACAGACACACACATATACACACTTGAAAGCCGGAGTAGATGTATGCAAGGCACATCAATGACATGTAAACACACACACTTATATCCCTGCCACTCTATTACACACAGAGAAAGGCAGATCCAAACACACTCACACACACACATACTCTAAAGAGAGACTGAGAAGTGAGCATTAACTATATTGTGTCTGTCACAGGACCCGTTCAGTAGGATGAAGACTGTCAGCTGTTCTGACTGGTCTCTGCAGCTCTGCACAAAGCTGTAACTTACTACAGTTTGCAGTGTTTATCAGAGTGGAATGAGTAGACTACCAACATAATGAAGTAGAATTTTCTTTTCCCCAATTGAATTAAACTTGCCTTACCTCATTTTCTATCCGCTTGGGGACAGCCATAACAGTGATGGGAGATGTTATGTATAGGTCTTAAGGTTGAACCTTGTGGAACTCCACAGGAGATTAGTACAGTCAATTCTAATACTAATTACAGGGCCTACTTATCTAGTGGGACTAACTTTTAGATAATTATTCTCAATAGAACAGTTTTGTTTTCCATTCTGGCCCTGAGGGTTTGCCACCAGAGGCCTTTTTGTTTTCAGTCTTGTCCTCTAATTTGAGACTGTTGTACACCTGGGATGCAAAGCGAGTTGTTGAAATATAGACTGATCCGTGAGTTTTTAGCAAATCTACACTGTCTCATCATTCTTTGAAAAATAAAGCAGTCAAGAGAGCTAAATGATACTTGTCATCAAGTATACAAAATATTGTCATGTGAAATGAGGAGAATGAGTGAAAGACAGTGGGGAAAAAAGGAGTGTCCCAGTCCGGACAGCCTCCCCTGTAGGCTTGCACAGTCTCCAAGCTGGAGAGGAGGAGGAGAAGGAGGGAGGGAGGGAAAAAGAGGGATGATTGGAGGGAGAGCGGTGTATCACTGGAGGCTGGTAAGGTCCCTGGTGTGGGATATGGGGAGCAATTATTATGATCCCATCCCTGCTTCCCTCACTCACTTTCTAACACTCTTCAGTGTACTTCCTCCAGTGCCAAAAAAGGATACCGCTAAAGCCAGGGAAAAGGAGGGTGGGGGGTAAAAAAGAGAGGGGAGAAACCAGAAGAGGAAACCCCCTTGTTAGACTCCATCAGTGCATGTGCATGAGTGTGTATGTTGAAGCTGCAGAGGTTGCCCAGCAGAGCCACAGGGATTTCTTTCCACCGCCATGGGGTGAGTACGATACTCGAGCGAGGATGGGGGCTGTCAAATAGACAGACCACAACCACAACTATCCGAGCTTCCTGTGTGTGTGTGTGTGTGTGTGTGTGTGTGTGTGTGTGTGTGTGTGTGTGTGTGTGTGTGTGTGTGTGTGTGTGTGTGTGTGTGTGTTTTCCAGTTGTTTTTGCATGTGAGGGAGAGTGATGAAGCGACGAGAGTTTCTGTGTGTGTGTGTGTGGGGGGTGTGTGTTACTGGACTGTAATGAAGCTAAGTGTAATCTGAGCAGAGCTGTTACTATAATTGACTACATAATGGAACAATCGTAGTGTAATTCCTTTTGAGTGAAACTTTTACTTTGCACCGAAAGAAAAGTGGTGCTGGCGTGTAAAAAAAACACAATTTAAGAGGACTGCTGTCTCAATGCTGCAATGGGAATTTGAAATCCTGGCAAAAAGTTCCAAGCCAGCCTCGTTTTCCCTCCATTTGTGTCCAAACTATTTATCCTCCAGTGGCATGGCTTCATTAAACAAGAGCCAGAGTAAGCGCGTCAACTCTCACACTTTGACAGCCCCTCCTCTCTGATGATTTTTCACCGAGTCACCGCTGCCGCCCACAGAGGCTAACATAAATAAACACATGCCGTCACTTTAAAGAAAAAAAGTCGGCGTGGATCCCACAGTTCAGCATCGCACGGCACCAGTCCCAACGAGGTCATGGGACTTGTGGGTTGTGTCTGAACCAGTTCCAGGAATAGGGGGACTGAGCTTGAAAACTAAAGCCAGGAAATCCTCACCTTTGACCTTGATAGTGGACTACTGTGATTGGCCGGGTCAGCTAAGGGGAGCGGAGAATTTGGCTTGTGGACTGGTCAGTTCTTCTTTTGGATTATGTGTGATTTTGTGTGCTGTCTCTTCTGTCTCCTGTGCTTTCAGTTTCTTTTTCACCTTTTTGAGCTCAGATTCTCTCTTACATAACTTTGCAGCCATAAACATTAGGGCTCTTCGCCATGTTTTTCCACACTGAGCTCAGGATTCTTGACATTTTTTGCTTATCTTCTAAAACAGCTCATCAGTTGTGGTGGCTTATCAGTGAGCTCTAGAGAGGTCAGCATCCCGAGTTGTTGGCTACCTGAGCCTGAGGATAAGTTTGTTCTGACTATATAAGGCCTACGTCTTCTCTCCTCTGGTCTCGCTCCTCGTTCTGCAATTTGGCCTGCTTAAGAGTAGAAATATCTGGAGGGGCCTTTTTGCTTTGTTTTCACAACATAGGATCAGAGAGGTTTACTTGTACAGTTCTTTTTAAATGATGTGGGAATGTGGCTGGGATGGAGCACGTAGGGCTGGTTCAGCTCAGAGTCTTGATGTGTGCACAGTGGAGGAATTATAGGTTTGGCGGGAATTGAAGCAAAGAGGAAACTTTCTTTGCTGCTAAACCTCTGGAACACATATACCCTTTGTTAGAACATCAGTAGATCTGCAGATTAGCTGGAATCTTGTTTCAATTTAAATTTAACTGACAGCTCTGGAATTACCAACTCTGAGTGACAAAATCACACTTCAGCTCTCTGCTTAAAGCTTTAAGCTGCACTAATCTGTATTTTATATTTATATTAACAGATCAAATGAGACTGTGTGACTTGAAACCAGTTGCTTATAGTGACGAACCAACAGAATTATCAGCCAATAGTGTTTGGTGATAACGTTCCTCCAGAAAAACACTGAGATCTCCACTTTTAAAAACTCTATTACTGTACTGTAGGTGAAATATTAATATGGAAAGTAACTTGTATTTTGAGAAATTCATTAATCAGATACTTCTACTTAAGTAGGTTTCTCAAATTTACTTTCAGTACTCTCCCCACCACTGGCTATGGCCCTTGCTTTGTGTTTGCTTGATGTGTAAATAGGCAACTGCTAACAAGTTAGCCAAAGCTACTTCATAAGGTGAAAATATAACAAATATTACATTTTCCACTTGTTTTACTGCCTCCTAGTGGTGAAAAATCAATGACTGCAGCTTTAAACTGTTCTAAAGTTTTTTGGTCACTGATATAAAGTTACAGTTGGCATTTCAAACATTCATCCGTTACAAATACACAGATCTGTTTCAGCAATAACTGAGACGGTGCTACATTTCTAAACCCTGATTGGATATAAACACTGTCAACAGTCATGTCTGTTTATAGAGAGATATATTTGCTTTATCTCCAGTGGGAGAAAACCCTTTTGGGTGTAACGGTTTGATTAATGACCCTGCTCTTCAGCTAGATTTGGATTATGCCTGCAAGCCCTGCTTGGAAGTTATTACTTTATAATGGGAACATGTAAGCAAAGGCCATGTGCTTTTCATCACTGCAGGAACGACAATTGCATAATGAAACATGAAAAAAAAGGAAGATCAAAGATGTACACAGTGTGCGATGTTTGGAGATGGGCAAGTGTCTGCATAAATCTGGGGTTTTTGTTGTTTGGTTCTCATTTCCTCTGTTCTCTTCTCTCTCTCTCCCCCCCTTCGTTGTTTTGGTGTGGCTGCAGTCATTTCTGTTGAGGCTACATGAGTCACTTATTCCCTCTGGGGGTGACAGTGACGGAGCCAAGTTCCCATTGTGTTCATCCCAAAATTTCCATTTCAGGATGCGAGCTATTCCAAGCCATACTTGGTTAAAAATAAACCTCAAAAAATGAGATGAGACTTAGAAGAAAAGTGGTGATCCAGGGGGAGAGGGGAGGGAGCGGGTATGGAATGAACAGATGTGGAAAAGCTGTTCCACGCTTCATTTAGCTCGTCTAGATATCCGTCGAATGTGGTACACTGGACTCGATACTACTCAGAAAGTGCTGATTTTTATCTGCCTCGAGAGATCAATACTCAGGAGGACCAAGATTGAGTTTTCACGCCTCTGTTTCACACCTTAACACCTTTGGCCAGTTTTGACATCAGCTCCAGAGAAAAGCCTGTGTCTAAAACATGACTTACACTGAACAGACTGTGTTCTCCAGCCATGGTACATATCAGGAGCGAATAGCAGGACACAGCCTGACCAGCTTGCTAATGTGTAGAATCTAGGACATGTTTCCGCTGCAGAGGTGAAGTGTCAGCCAGCCGGCGCCTCAGCGTTTATGTGAGCTGGGAAATTGACTCGATAAATCTGTGAATGGGTGAGAATAAACAGAATCGGGTCCGCAGGAGGGAGGTGAATGATTTGACTGCTTATAATGGCCATGACCAGAGCTGTCTCTTGAAGACAAAGATTTACAGTCACACCTGCTGTATATCACAGATAATAAGGGAGTCCAAGACATGTGCTCAGAAGTTCAGAAAGATAATACAGGCCTTATATAAGCTACTGCATCTCCTGATATGTTCTTACACTGCCATGTTTATGCCCAGCAGAGATTCAGTCTGTTTCAAATGTTGTGCAGAGTTTGATTTGTAGAGTAAAACATGGTAACCTGCATTTAATCAAACTATTGCAGTCAAATGAGAATAATAAACAAAAAAACGACACAGCAGACATTTTGACCTGTCACAGCATTAAAATCCCAGGTGAAACCAACAAACTAAAAAACACATGTATAACATATTATGTTATATTATATTATTATTCTAAAGCTGATATGGCCCACAGTTTTGGAGCTATCAGCTGTCTCTCCAATATAATGGAACCAGATGGCACTCACACTTGTGGTGTTAAAAGCACCAAAAACATACATTTGAAAAATTTAACAAGAAAGTCTTTTTCTAGAAATCATGACCCGGTTACTCAAGATGATCCACAGACCTACTTCCATATAGGAACTATTTTCTTTCTTCATATCACCGCGCAGAGAGAAGCGTGCATCTATGATCCTCCTCGGCTGAGCTGTAACCTTTTTGATTGGAGGTGAACTGACACTGTAATCATCTTGAGCTGTGTTTCTGTCCACCTGACACATGTCCATTCATAACTGTCCTTTCACAGTAGCTCTGTTTTGGTCTCCTAAAAAGAAGGAAAAAAGCTCTTAAGTTCCTAAATGAAAGCTGTTACTATAACATTCAGTGCTTAGCATGTGGCTTATTATCACAGAGCTTGTTAGCTAAAGATACCTCCTTGTTGCTCCTGTAAACAAGGTTAATGAGAACAGTGAAATGGACCCAAACTGTTAAGTGGCATTAATACCAAAATAATGAGCTAAAAGACACTAAAAGCCTCGTAGAGCTGAGTGAGACTGCAGAGTTAGGTGATAATTATCTGTGTGTTCTTAAGTACAAGCAACACTTTTCACATTATTTGCAGGAATTTGATCAATGAATAAATTGATTAGTAACAAATAACAATAAGAATAATAATTAGAATAATAAACTTTATTTATACAGCACTTTTCTCAACAACGTTACAAAGTGCTGCACAAGTACTTCTGTTAATGTTGAACAGATTTTTGGTTTAAAAAAGATTTTGAATTCCATTCTTTGATTGGATTTACTTGCTATTTCTTGATTGATGCCCGTACAAATACAATGAATTAAAAGGACTTTTAAAGGAAAGAAAACAAATGGAAAAGGGTCTCTTGGGACTCCACGTTCCACTTTTCTGTAATGTCACAGTTTATTTTGAATTTATAGTTAACAGCTACTGCCGTCTCCCTCCTTGATCAATCGACGGCAAAAACTTTTTTTTTTACACTTCAAAATACTAAGGGTGTTGTCTGGCATACAGTTGGAGTATATCAATATTTTAATGTACTTGTGCCTCAACAACAAAGAGAGTAGTTTACAGCTCTTGCAATCTCAGAATTTGAACGAAAACTTGAACAGTGAAGTGCGGCTGTTTCTGCACTTATCCCAACCCTTTATGTTGTGTAGGGACAAACCTGCTACACAAACACAGACGTTACAAACACTGTTGACTAGCCCATCACTCAGGTCCAGCCACACATTAGGTTCAGTTTATTGACTCTGTGGCAGACCTGTTAATGTGAGCCGGAGCCAGCTGAGCCTCCCAACACTGTTGGTGTCCTTGTTTGAGGACAAACTCACAGCAGTGCGACCTTTGGCAAAACATTCCTATAGTACAGAAGTCTAGAGGGGCCATGTGTCAAAATATATGTTTAAGAGTCCAAGACTAGTGGTTTGTTTTTGGGGCTCTATACAACATGTGCTGACGCTGCCATATGTAATCTGCTGTGTGACGATGGGCACACGATACACAGCACAACTTTACATTCATATTGGAAAATAATGCATGTTGTTATTTACATCCAGTGGCAACCTGCGGTGGCAATGCAAGACATACTGTGTCCTCAGCGAGGTGGAAAATCCAACTGCGAGGACTATCATCTGTGACTGAGTGCGCACTGTCCACAACAATGTGTACATACTCATGTGAGTCGACAAGAACGCCACTCTTGAAAGCAACACAAGCAGTAAAAGCAAGTTTTCTTAAATTTCACATGGCTACATGTTGCCAGTGTTTTTCTCGTCTTTACAGATATTTTGGAGAATTGGTTGTCAGTGTATTTTAGAAGGCAGAAGAGAAAGTGATTGACATTCTACCACAGAACAACAAGCCAATCATCAACATAGAATCACAAGCAGTTGGTGCCCTGACCACTGACAGTATATATACAGACAGCTTCTGTGAGGTGAAGCCAACGTGGAATGTCTTAAACCTGCATTCTTTCTAATGGCCAGCAGGGGGCAGCTCCATAGTCTGCAAAACAGGAATTTTGGAATAAAAACTTCCTCCAACTTGATTTTGTACCGGGACATATGAGTAAAACAACATGTGGTCTTTTTCCACTTTCACAAGGGTAGTGTCTGCCAGCCCACCCCTCCACAGCTGAGTGCCACCCAGCTAAGCATCAGCATCCAGAGCAGACCTCCCCGGGCGCTGATGATTATGATTGATACCTAGGACCCGCTCTCCCCCAACACGTTACCTAACACCTACTTCTGGCTATTCATCAGCAGGCTGCAGCACTGGGGCTAATCCAGTTAGCAGAGCAGACATGGAGCACAGGAGCCCACTGTGGGAATAGAGTGCATAGGTGTATACTTTCATCTAATAAAATGCCACAGAATCATGGCTGCAGTGATTTATTCTCTTTGTGATCAGTGTTGAGCTTTCTAAACAAAGCCACATCTTACACATTTATCATTTTGCAAATGAGGTTTTCCTTTTTTTATGGAGCCTGGAGTGTGCCACTGAAATATACTTTTACAGAGTTTAAATAAATATACTATAGTTAATAAATGTATCAGCTTATAAGGCTTGAATTGATTAATTACAGAATCAGCTATATTCACAACAACAAGATACTATCACCTTATAAAGTTACCATGGTGAATGAACAGTTTGCATATATTACTATATATATTATTACTATATATATTACTAATATGAAGACTTTTTGCCTCTTACGTTAGTTTAGAATCCAAGAATGATGACTAATTATCAAGAGATGGACATGGTTTTATAGTTCAGTCTGATGGAGGATGATAACAGAAGTAAGAACTTTACTAAAACATCCTATATGTGTATGATTCATAATAAAACATCTGGAATATCAGCAGACTGATACAGAATACTGGTCTAACTCCTGTCCTGATTAGTAATCAGGGGCCCTGCCAAAGGTCTGTTCTTGTGCTCTGCTTTACAGACTGAAGTTCAGTTCCTCGACAGATTATCTGCTGGTTTCAGCACTTATTAGGAGATAAAATTCATAATTGCCAAGATATACAGTTTATTTTACACATTCCCTAGACATCATTAGGAACTGGATGTACAAGCAATGACTGTCTCAGTTTACAGACACTGCAAGTGATCAATGTTAGTTAATGTTTGAAGTACTGATGATGTGGAGATATTCCTGGTATGTGTGGAGATGTGGTACTGTTGAAGCTCAATCCTAAAAAATCATTTAAGACTTATACCACTTTGAGTTAGTAAATTACATTTACATACAGTTACTTTTTTATTCTCAACTGATGCTTTTATAGCTTTGATCTATCAGCATATTTTAAATTGTTCTGAGTATTTTTTATATGAAGTTGTATTGTAATTTGTGTACTTCTAGTTAGTGTACATATCATCTGGTTGGCAGATATTTTCCCAGTTTGTTTATTTATTATTATTTGTATGTAGACTGGCCTAGGTTAGTTAGCGATCTGTGCACAGAAAATGAAATTGAAACCAGAACTGTTCCGGATGCAGAAAACCTCATTCAAAATCACATTCACATTTGTAGTAATGCCAATAAGTGCCCTGGATAAGTGTTATACCATACAGTTGATTTTTGAAAGGATCTAATAAATTTTTCTATTTCTGTTTTTAACAAAGACCATTTCCTATGGGGATTTCAAACTCTGACAGTGTGGATGTACAGACAACTATGACCGGATTACTTTGTTACTGAAGAGTAACGCCACCCGGAGGCGTGACTAACAATTTAAAAATCTCTGGCCTAGACCATTGCATGTTAAAGGTTACGGTTTATCAGGGCTCCCGGTTAGCTCAGTCGGTAGAGCTGGTGACCCATGTACTGAGGCTGAGTCCTTGCTTCGAATCCGACCTGTGGCCCTTTGCTGCATGTCATCCCCTCTCTCTGCCCACTTTTCCTGTCTGTCTTCAGCTGTCTCTATCGAATAAAGGCAATAAAAGGCCAAAAAAAAAAAAACGGCTTATCAGAAGAGGAGAGTCCATGGGCGAGCTGAGGGGCTGTGGCGAGTTTAGACTTGTCTATAATAAAAGCAGGACAGTGAAGTTTGAACAATGGAGACATTTTTAGACTAGCACGCACTACAGCTAAAAAGATTTTTAAAAATGAGTGTTGGTGGATATTGTTGGGATGGACAAAACCAAGTTATGGTGACCTCAGTCCCTGCACTGCTGTGCTAGTAAATTTTCATGGGAGCTGAAGTTTTTTATACGACAACAAATCATTGTTTAACTTTGTTAAAATTTGTGAAAAGACTTTTGTTTTGTCCGCTTCCAAATATGACACTGTAGATACCAATTTTTTGGATGCCCCCCAAAGTGCCTCAAACACAGGACTTTAAAGGTCCAGTGTGTAACATTTAGGAGGATCTATTGTCAGAAATGGAAAATAATAATCATAGGTATGTTTTCATTAGTGTATTATCACCTGAAAAAAGGAATCATTGTGTGTTTGGCCACCTTCCATGGAGGCCACCATGTTGAGCCGATGTTGACAGTAGCCCAGAATGGACAAACCAAACACTGGCTATAGATAGGGCCTTTTGTGTTCTGTGAGCTCCCAGCCACTGTAGTTTCTCCCATAACAGGCCGTTCTCATTCTGAGGTCGTCAAATACAGATGCCAGCGGTGTTCAGTTAGTTTCAATCTGAAACTTCACTGCCATGAAATCCTACACACTGGTCCTTAACCCATGAGGCCACTGTTTCCCATGTTTCACTAAATGTAAAGTAGTTTTTGTGCCAAACTGCGACTATTTCATGTTTACTACACAAGCTTTATTTTGTAAGTATAACAAGACATATTTAGTGCTAACTTGTCTACGGAGCTCTACACGTCCAGAAATGATGCGAGAAAGGTAGCTAGAACATTTTTAGTTTGAAGCAGAGGGACACTGACCATCCAGCAGTATTTGACGAGTTGGGAGTGTGAACGTATTAGAGATGATTCAAATAACAAATCTGTATTATAATTGATCTGATGATTTAAGTTATGAGGAATTTAATGAACAAGTTTAAGTATCCATACTGAGCGACCTATACTTCCTTACCCAGCAGAGACTTACAATGGATATGTAGCATGTTGAAGCACAAGACATATGTGTCCCTGCCGTCCAGTGGACACTTGATATGTGTCAGATGGGGCAGCCAATTTTGACTTTAAAGGCAAGCTTTAGCAGTGATGTCCCATATATAGATGTAGTATTGGGAACATCAACATCCCTGTATATTCCCCAGAGATTCCTGTAGCAGTACTCAGATGTCATTCCATCAAAGCCTGCTTGAAACCCTGTTTCTCACACTGATGAAGATTGGTCATTCTCACCAGGAGTCATTTCGGGGAACACTTCTTGCTCTGTTTCTAAGCAACTAATGTCCCTCTAATGGTTTTTAATCCACTTTGTCCTTGGGGTGGGGGGGTTCAGTAAGTGTTTTTCCACGTACAGTGGTGATCATTAAAAGTTGATGTGAGCAGTGACACACTTTCCTGTTAAGTGGGAATATGTCTAAGTAGAGCTGAAGAAAACCCAGCAAGCCATTTTTGGGAAAAAACTTCAATATAGAATATAAAACATATCAAATAGACGTTTTATTTTTCATAGTAAGAAAAATACGTTAGTGAAGAAGCGGCAAAAAAACAGCCAGGACAAACCACAAAGTCATGCAGGCCACCATACCAACATTTACAAAAGGTTAAGCTAATGTAATATTATCCCGGGCAGCGGATGTAGCCATACCGTAGCCAATGTTAACGTTTCTTTCAGATGGATTTCTATCTGTTAATGTGGGGAATGGGGAGGGCTTAAAACTAAAGGTTACATGTTAATTATTAAAACTGACAAATTAGCAACTTGTAGTGAACTAGCTCCAGTTCAAAGGTGGAATCCAATAATTCTAAATATTCATCAGTTTATTGTCATGAGGAATTCTACTCAACCTGTGACAGCTGTGAAATGTCTGTGGCTCTGGACGGAGCTTTAACATGGGTTAGAACATAGAGTTTGAAAGCCAGTAACGTACCCCCACTTTTAATTCAAGTAAAATGCTAAAACACTGGAGTAGTTGTGCCTGCAATCCCTACTGGCACCATTAAACATATACATACATTTACGTATATCATTTCAAAAGGTGGTATTCTAAATGTCAGTCTTTTCTCGAGCAAATAAAAGACCTTGATTCTGAACATTGCCTTGTGGGTGTTGACGCAGTGAGCTGATCATGTTTGAGCCTCAGGTATCTGAAGAATTTACACATTCCTCCTGGAACGTATCTTGCTTAGCATTAAAAAGGTCTGGCTAGAAGTGCATTTGTGTTATCCATGTAGGTGTAAGCACCGCCAGAAGTATATGTTACATACATATGTAGGAAGATCATTTGTACATAGTGTCTGCAGAGACATACAACTGATGACAACCACATGCAAATAAAAAAACTTTTCCCAAAGTGTCAAAAGTACTTCACAGACAGAATGTAGTTGGAGGACAATGGGGAAATATGTTCTACCCTTCAGGAAGTAAAAAAAATATGCAAAAACACTAAGGAAATTCTTAGCTGTTGGCTGGTAAAAGTTTGCCTTCTGAAGGCAGGACAAGACAGGTTTCAGTGCAGGAAGCTGACACCCCAGAGGGCGCTTTAGAAGTAAATAAGTTCTCCATTAGATAGTAGAC